AAGTGGAAGTCAAATAGTTCAGACGTTATTAATCAAATTAAATCATCAAATGTCTCCGACGACAAAGCTTATTTTGGATCGTCAGAAACCAGTAAAACTCTAGGGATGCTTTGGTCTAGCCAGAGCGATCTTTTGTCCTATTACATTGGATTATCACCAAAACCAGAAAGGGTGACGAAGAGAATCATTCTGTCAGAAACCGCTAAGGTTTTCGACCCACTCGGGCTTCTGGCTCTAGTAGTGGTTTGAGCAAAAATGTTTTTACAAAAACTATGGCTGCTCAAATTAGCCTGGGACGATGAAGTGCCGTCTGAACTTGCCAATAAATGGCTATCGTTTAGATCGGAACTCCCCGAGCTCAACAAATTACAAATTTCAAGGCAAGCTACTGGCAAAAAGCTAGTGCGAGTTGAGATACACGGGTTCTCGGATGCTTCTCAATCTGCATATGGAGCTTGTATATATTTGCGTACCATAGATACTCGAAAAAATATATACATACAGCTTCTTGCCTCCAAAACACGTGTAGCCCCCCTCAAGTCCATTCCGATACCTAGGTTAGAGCTTAGTGCCGCTCACCTATTAGCACAACTCTATTCCAAGGTCTTATCTTCATAAACTTTAAAGTTCAACGACATTCAGTTCTGGTGTGATTCGACGGTAACTTTATGCTGGATTCGTTCATTACCACATCATTTTCAGGTTTTCGTTGCGAATCGAGTATCAGAAATTCAGAAACTGGCTCCACCCGAGTACTGGAGATATGTTCCCAGAGCTCAAAATCCAGCAGGCTTTCTTTCCAGGTGCATGTCACCAAAAACTCTTGCTGAAACTAGGGATTGGTTTTGTGGGCCAACGTGGTTATATCAAGCATCATCAAATTGGCCACAAGACATTACCATGTCCAATCTTGTACCAATTCAGCAATACGAAAAAATATTCAAGTTTTAGTGCATCATGAAGCTCACCACAAAATTTTATTTTTACCATTTCGAAATTATTCTACATTTTCCAGGGCGAAACGTGTAATGGCGTATTATTTGAGATTCTTCAATAACTGTAGAACTTCTCAGAATCGGAGAAATCTTGAACATCTAACCTTGGAAGAATTGAATAATGCCATGAATAAACTCGTTCTATTAACTCAATGGAAGTCATTTCCTGATGAAATAAAAGAACTTAAAAAAACTGGAAGCGTCAATCGCAATAATCATCTTCTAAGCTTAACTCCATTTTTAGATGATGCCATTATGAGAGTGGGAGGCCGCCTCAAACATTCACCATATTCTTTCGACAAAAAACATCCCATGCTGTTACACCAAAAACATTATTTAACATCCCTCATTCTAAGGGCTATACATTATGAGTGCTTTTATTGTGGACCTCAGCTACTATTGTCAAAAACCCGCGAAAAATTTTGGCCGATCTCTGGAAGAAATTTGGCCAAGAGATTAGTACGTGAGTGTGTACTGTGTTTTCGATTCAAGCCAAGGTTCGTTAATCCACTAATGGGAAATTTGCCTGAAGCAAGAATAACTTCTAGACCCCCATTTTCTAATGTCGGTGTCGATTACGCGGGTCCATTCCAGTACAAGGACAGAAAAGGTGGTAAAATACTGAAGTGCTATCCCTGTCTGTTTATTTGCTTAACTGTTAAGGCTATTCAACTTGAACTGGTGACAGATTTGAGCACCTCAGCTTTTCTCGAAGCTTTTCAAAGATTTGTTTCACATCGAGGCAGGCCGTCTGATGTATATTTCGACAACGGCAGCAACTTTCTAGGCGCGGACAATCGTTTGAAGTAACTAGGACAATTTTTAAAATCAAACAAAAATGTCATTATCCAACAATTAGGGTACGATCTTCTGGTCATCTTCTGGTGGCATTTTATTTCTGCCTATTCACCACACCTAGGGGGAATATGAGAGGCAGGAATAAAGTCTGCGAAACAGCACTTATTAAAAGTATTGACATCCTTTGGAGGTGTTTTGACGTTCGAAAGTTTTTATACAATTACTTGTCAAGTAGAAAGAATACTTAATTCTAGACCGCTTACACCAATGTCAGCGGATCCAAATGATCTTGCTGCTTTAACACCGTCTCATTTTTTGGTTGGTTGTGCGTCCGAATCTCTCCTCTGTTCTGACTTGGAAACCACCCCATTAAATAGACTCGATCACTATGAACAGTTCAAAACAGATCAAAATTAAACAGCATTTTTGGAGAAGATGGAGTACCGAATACATTACTCAGCTCCAACAGCGTTTAAAATGGAAGGAGAATATGCGCAATCTCTCGGTTGGTGAATTGGTGCTCGTTCACGATAACAATACGCCTCCGTATAAATGGCGTCTTGGACACGTGTGTGCCGTACATCCAGGATCTGACGGTTGTGTGCATAGTTGTGTGCGAGTTGCATCCGTCAAAACCGCCTTTGGTGAAATTAAGCGCGCGGTAGTGAAATAAGCGCCACTTCCTATTACGTAAAGACCAAAATACCAACTGATGTTTTTTCATATTGGACTCGTGTCTAGGTATATGTTCTTAGTTTAAGCAAGTTTAAGTTAGTTTTATAGTCTTCTGCATTTTGTTTATTCTAATGTCAATTGTATACTTTATTGAAAGTATCCTTTTAAGGCTGGGGGCATGTTGGAACGAATAATTTCAGATTAATTTGGAATAGATTTTCATTTCTTTCCAAATAATTATTTTTGATTGAACTATCATGTCTTGAAGGAAATGAACGCCATAATGCGTTCGGGAATCAGCGCGAACTCATCGCGGAACAACGGCAGTAGAAGTCGTACCAGAAAAAAACAATTAAAATTTTGTTGGATAGTTGGATAGTTAATCTGTGAGAGAGAGGTTATGCCTTTTGTCCATAAAAAAGTGATTTATATTCTTGATATAGAAGGCTCACTTCTGTTGTAGTCGGCCAGTGACATTTCCGATGGTGCTGCCATAGCGGTGTAGTCCTTGAACTAATATTTGGCGGGCCGTTTGAATCTCGGTTTTAAATGACTGGTTTGACATTTTAATTATTTCAAAATAAGGCAGTGCTTCAAAACTTCATGAACTAAAATTTTATTCATTTTATTTTCATATATTTATGTGAGAATCACTCAAAGAATAAAATAGTTTATAATCTATTCATAGATGATCTGGCGTATCTGACTCATGAGCTGACTGGAGCACTTTTCAATCTGCTTTTTGAAAATGTCCATTTTTTTCCAGTTAAAAGGCTGTCATATTTGATCAAGTTATTTATGATTCCCTCGAACATGTATGGAACATCATACAGTGATACGATTTCTAGGTTGTTTATTTCCAACAAAACCAAAATTTCTGTTTCTGTGTTGTTTTTGATCTAGATTTCCCTGGTCTGTGGTTGCAATTCGCTTTTGGCTTATTCATTTTTTTGCCGCCTGGTCACACACTGTGGCAACAACTCTTAAACCGGCTGCTTATGATGATGCACTTATCATTTCTTTCACAGTCTTGGAATTCAAAACAATCATCGACAATGCACTCAACAAATTAATTCAGATGACAAGATGACATTTGCATTATGATGTTAAATGGATACCTGCGTTTTTATGACTGGTTTTTATATACACGACGATTCTATGTCGGTCATTGTCATTTTCTATTCACTAAACAAAGATAGCTAACTCATCGGTGAAGTCAGAGATTAGAATAAGAACGAGGGGGACGTTAAGAAACGGCGATATGGGCGCACAGCGGTGTAGTCACGAACTAGAACAAAAACTGGCGAGGATGAATCCAGTGAATGTTCTATTTAAGAATTTATAAATCACTTTTCTATGCTTTTGTCTTTGAAGCGTCAGATTTTTCAATTTTTAACGTTCTCGGGCTCCAGCTTTGAAGCTACGTCAGCTTAACTTTTTCTTTTATACAATTAAATATTCAATATACTGCGGAGTGATTTACAGTCTGTTTCAAGTTCAATTCGCAATGTCCGAAAGCATATTGATTAGTGCTTTAACCGGAAAAGCGGTATGTTGGTACTAGCTCGTGTATCAACAATGTTTCCTAGCGCATTGTAAAATATATGCCATGTAAGGAAAGAATCTAATTGTTATTCTCATTCATCGGCACAATAATAATTATTATTACTCAATCTCGACACAATAATAGTTGCCCAAAGTAGATTCAGGCAACCATTAAAGTAACAAACTACGAGGAGACTTTTGTTCTCGCCAAGGAAATGAATTAATAGCCCCGCAGTCTCCTTATATGTCTTTGAATACACTAACAATTCATTAAATTTTCAATTGGCTAACGGCATCCGAGTTATTATTCTTCTAAGCGGTACTTAGAGCCTAATAGCTAGCACGTTTCAACTGTGAATCAGATTTTTATTCGAGAGTCTTAAGATAACGAATACCTACAACAAGAGACCATTGAGATTTCAGGAATGGGCTTATAAAATTAAATTGCATATCTTGGGCTTTTTTTGATAGGATTTTTACCTTGAAAACGACTTATAACGTCGCAAAATAATGCGGTTGATGAACTTTTTAAGCAGCTTACCCATGTAATCGGAAAGTCATTGAATTGCGTGTCTAATTAAGTTCCTTAAAAAATTCTATTGTCTATTTATTTTTTTGCAGAGCCATATGGCAAACAATACATTTTCAGGTGTTCGAATATTGACCGAATAGGTTTCAATTGTATAACAGGCTTTGGTATAACCACATGTAAGGATCCTTTTAGAAAATATGTTATGGTTTTTCATAAGATGCAGGTGGTGTTGAGTCCAGATTATTCAGCAACAAATTTGCGAAATGACTCAATCTTTATGGAGTCATCGCTTCCCTATTACGGAATTTCGAAAAGCTAATTTCCTGTAACCGGCTACCTCTATTTAGCTTGGACAGTACTAACACAACTTTCATCAAGAGATCTATGTAATTTTGAGGTGGTAGTCGAGAATTGTAAATTTTTGAGAGCTTGCACATTAACCAAATCATCATCAGGTAATTGCTTGGAGCTACACGTGATGATACAGAGACAAAGTGGTAACTTTGAGATTACCAAAGGAGAAGTACCTGTGGTTACTGGACGGATTAGGATGGATGATAGCCAAGATCATATTCTACCATCTTCTATAATCATAAATAATTTCAATAAGGATAATGCATTTTTGAGTTCGAGAGATATTTACAAGGAGCTTAGATTGAGAGGATACAACTACAAGTACCTAATAGCTGCTTTTGTTAAATCCTAACATTTTAAAATTGTAAAATTTTAGAGACATTTAGAAAGGCATTACAGCTTTGAACAAATGGGCAACCCAAGGAAAAATCGAAGCCACAAGCATTGTCAAATTAACCATAATCTCTGTTACTCCGTAATACGTAGTCTTCATTCTAAAGACTGGGAAACAAGCACCGCAGATCCTGAATCCTTTAAGCCGATAAGCCCCAACTTTTGGCCTCACATCATTTCTTACCATGGAGATAACCATTGACTTACATTTGGTAATTGAAATTTTGACTAAAAATCCACTTCACAAAAATCAGTTTGCCTACAAAGTAGGCAAATCGACGGCCGTCCATACCTATTCGGTTTATTGAGACCAAAAATGCAGACTTTTTTCGAGAAAATGCAGACTTTTTTCGAGAAAATGCACACTTTTTTAAGGAAAATCAAAGCCTTATTATAACACCTCATTTAAATCTAGATGAAGGGCTGTAGCTTGAAGTTTCTGAGGAATGAGGATACTACAATCGAATCCATGTTTGAGAGTAGGAAAATCAAAGCAAAACTTAGAGACGACTCCAGAACGGAAACAATGGGCAGGAGTTTTCACTTCCATGGTATATAATGTATTCGATAAACTCATCAACATCCTAAACAACCAAGTTAAAATGGTTCAAGGATCTAAAGATGATCTCGTTCAAAACTGAGCATCCTCACAATAACGAAGTGAACAAACTTGAAATCTCTCTAATATAGATATTGCAAAACTTGTCATATTTCGACACTACGCCCACCACCAACGCCAAAAAGAATGGTTTCGTTTTGCACGATTGGTATTATGATAATATACCAATGGCACTTCCTAGTTACACCACTCACGGTTCGATTTTTGTTACAACAAACAACAACCTTCATTTACTTTGTGCAGGGGCGACAGTCATAAAATTTGTTACCTACTTCAGAAAAAAAAAAAAAGGAAAAGACAATACGATGTGCTCATAGACCGTGGATTTTAAGTGCTTCGAGGTATTCTTTGGAAGTTGTCTTTCTAAGGTTAATTTACTGACCAATAGCGCAGTAGCAACAGACGAAATACGATAGTGTAGAAACGTATACAGTGTGTATCAGATAAGTATGGCACAGAATCGCAATTTTGCTACTTAAAATGAAAGATTGAAAAAAAATATGCATTGCTTCGCCTAAGAACCAATAATTTAAAATTTCTTCCCAGAAAAAGCAGTCGAAACCATGATATTGTCACCGGCTATAATTATGACCGCAAATATAAAAGTGATCGTTTTCCATCATCATAACTTAACTCTTTTTCGTACTGGTATGAAAGAAAATAATACCTTCCCCATGATATTCCATCATTTTCATTCATGCATGGAATAATGTTTTCTATCCCCAGTAGAAAGAGTACCTACTGTCTATTTGCACAAAAAGAGCTCGCCAAAAAATTTATGGGCAAAGCCCTTGAGACGTAGACGTCGTGCTTCGTTATAGTTTATGATTTGCTTTGGCCAGTATCTTAGAGCTATGGCGTTCGCCATATGCCGACCATTGCGCATTTAATAATGGCAGTATAATGCAGTATTGCGGCTGTAATCACCTCTCTTATCTGCCAACTCTTTCATTATTTGCCGTCTCCATAATGGTACTTTGTCGGCCATAGTACTATGAATACATAATGAATATTTATTGTGGGACATGGTGTTGATGTCGTGTTGAGTGCAGAATCCTATTTGCGTTTTTTTTAACATTTTCAATTATTTAAATGTAAAATTCGAATTAATCAAGATTAATGAAACTGAAACTGTCAAAAATCCTTTTTAAAGAGAGCCATCAACAGAATATTCAGGCTTTTTCTTCAAATTTTATCTATCAAAATTTAAATTCTTCTGAGGTGATGGACATTTTTATTGTTCCTTTGACCACCTCATCTGTACATTCTTAGTAGGTAATTTGTTAAAAACGCCATCATTTTCAAAAATTATTATTTAGCTCTTTCTATGAACATTGAAATTCTTCTGGTCAAATTTGTAGTGCTTTTCGACAATTTCGCAAACCATTATAATGCCTTATCATGATATTTATTTTCAGAATTTCCGGCATTTTGCTGGATTATTTTAGATTTTCAACTATTCATGAAACTTATTGCTAGGTTTACAAAAATGTATATCCTCGAATTTCATTGGCAGCATAGCAACAGTTACCTACCAACAAAAGTAGTTAAGTTCTTAGGCATCAGTTAATTATCTTCTTATTCCATTATGTCGTGACAGTAAGCTTTTCCTTTTGGTTTTCCAGCAGTAAAATCGGTATTTCGCATAAATTTCTGAATATTTGAATCATTGATTTAGGATTCATAATACCTACTACGTCCGGCTGACGTAGTACTTATTATCAATAATCCTTGGCCATTATTCATTAAATTGTGAAAATTCAATCTACGCTTTCCTTCTCAATGGAATCTGCAAATTTGGTCAAAAATTGTTGTGACATGAACTAAAGCTAATATCTTTGCTCTGTGGTATAATTTTAGTAAAAACTGAATTTATTATTTAAAGTAGGTATAGTCATCTTCGGAAAATACCTATAGTTTTGAAACCAGAAAATCTTTTGTCTCTTTTGCTGAAAAAATTAAGAATGAAGAATATTGATAACAAAATTAGGGAAAATTTGAAAAATAACTCAAAGATTACGTAGTAGGTATAAATACTCTAAATATACCTACTTAATTTGAGAGAAGTGGGTTAGTTTGGGTTACATCAAGTATCTAAAATTGTTCAGTGCGCGTAGACCTAATAAGTCACAACAAATTTGCGATAAGTAGGTACATACAAACTGTTTGACCCACACAGCATGAAAAATGATTCTGGAATGACAAGGATATAAAAGAACCTGTAAAAACTATTACAAGAATTACGGAACGGAGAACAAAGCGAATACAACGAACGTGCCAGATAGGTATAGGTACCGGATTTTTGCTTGATATTTACCTACTACTACTGCTCGCTCGACTCCTTTTGTTCGTTCGCCTGCATAGATCTTTAAAACTTTCCTCTAATAATATCGATAGAATAGTCAGTCATCTTTGGTTCGTCGTTCCAATTTTCTCATCAGCGATTGCAAAAACTCCCATTTGAGTACCAGTTACCTAAACTTTGACCCATTTAATATACATTTAGTATTCTACAATATCAAATATACTTATATCTTACTATTGTAATAGTTTAATTTTATTCGAAGAAACTTAGTAACCCCAGGTGAGTAAAAGTAAATTTGCAAACGATCATTACGCATGAATTGGAAATCCCAAGACGCTAGATCCATTGCCAAAGCCGAAAAAACTCTAAAACTTGAAGACGAAATTCAAAAAAATCAGATAGGATTTACTGGGCTTTTCAGAAGTATACCAAAGAAGGAAAGCTGCAGGAAAAAATTTGAAATCAAGGAATTAATTATATTATGAAAGTCACGGAAAACGTACTATATTATGGAAGCATATAGGACAAGACATGCATTCAGACATACAAGGCCGATTCCAACAGAGTTGGATACATCATCCTGAATAAAAGCATCTCTCCAAAGCTCATTCAGGTTTAGGCCTCGACATAACTTGCAAAGACGAAAATCTAGAAATTTTCCTTGAAGAGCTTTCAACAGCCATAGACGAAGTAAAAGCAATAAAAATTATTAAGCCAACTTTCCGGCCAAAATACAAAATGAGCAAGTTTAGAAAGATTTGATATACAGCAGCAAGGCAAGGTTCAGCGATTCCCTAATCCCTGACACTTGGATGATACCCATCTTGTGTAAGTGTTTTTTCAGTGTAAAGTGACCCACACTAATTTTCAGTTTATCTATTGGCACCTTTAATAGCTGCTTGGCTATCTGATAAAATCGTGATATTCTTGTGTACATACCCTCTTCTCAGATTTTTACGCAGGCATATCTCTATTGCATATATTTCGGCTTGAAAAATGGTGGTATGCTTTCCCAGTGGAGAAAGCCATTTTGCTCTTGGGAATAAGCCATCTACTCCGGCACCGGTTCCACTGTCGGTCTTGGAGCCATCAGGGTACCACTAGCTTTCCATTCTGAACTAGTTTTCTGTTTTGTTTTCCCAGCTAATCGTTTTGTGTGTGTTTATTCTCGGGGACATGTTGTCACTTTTCATCTCAAACAGCGAGTTTGTAACAATGTTTGTTATCCTGGTAAGTATCTTCGTATCGGATTTCAGTTCTGGCCACAATTGAGTCTGTAGACCCCCATTCTTCCCTCAGCTTTGATAAGGATATCAAGTGGCGGGAGGTTTAGTATGATTTCCAGAGCAACAGTTGGAGTGTTTCTCATTGTACCCATTAAATGTCTGTTCGCACAGATATCACAAACCAGTCTGAGTGAATTTCATTGGTTGAAAACAGTCAGACAATTAGTTTCAACCAATAAAATTCACTCTGACTGGTTGGTGATTTCTGTGTGAACAGACCTTATGCAGAGACAAGCCAATCTTTGAAGTTTGGATAGTCCCTTCACTATGTGGAGTTGAAATGCCCATGTCTTTCCCACTGCTCTTTTGGTGGCCATTACCGCCATTTTACCTTTATCGGCGGCGTATTGAATATGTCAATATGCCAGGTTAGTTTTGCATCCAGGATAATCCCTCCCTAGGTAGGTATTTGACTTTTCGGACGTATTGTAAAATCTGTTTTTTTTTTAAAGATAAAAGTCAAAATGACAATAGGTTGGCAATACAATGTAAAATTGTCAATGCTTTCAAATTCCTTATGTAGAAAAGGCTTGTGTTGCCAACATAGTTACTAAATTTTTGACTTAAGGAATTATCTTTAAAAAAAAAACAGACTTTTTTTGCTTTCCGAAAAAAGACTAGTTTTCTTCTTTTCGTGAAGGGGACTACTGCTGTTTTCTCAGGTTTGCCCTTTTGACCCATTCCTCCACGATTTTAATTGCTCTTCACATTTGCGCAGAAGTAGTTTGTAAATTTTTCCTCATAACTAC